CAACTCGATCTGGTTTAACTGCCTCCCTGGTACTTTGATAAACCGCTACAGTTTGAGAATGCGAGGACAGGATGTCTCACACATGTTGAATTGGCTAAAAACACTGGACCCCCTGATCCAAGTTACCAGAGAGTGCTACAATAACGTGTGCGAATGATCTTTGGAAATCTCCTTGGCACAATCTGCGGGATGTCTGGCTCTAACAAGTTTCTTCTCTAACTGACGGAAACTTTTTAAACTATTATCATTACTGTTACTGTTTTCGTTAGTTTTAGCGCTTACACGGCCTAAGTCATTCTTATTTTGTCGCCGGGAGGCGACACTTAAAAGGGGGAAATAATATGTTAGAGTACATTTTTGTTCAGTCTGCGCTTCTCTTCGTAATCATTAATATTTATTCAGTTTATTCCATTTATTTTGGTGTTGAGCATTTTAACTTTACTCAGGAGTATATATATATATATATATATATATATATATATATATATATATATATTAACAATTATTCTTTGAAATCGAGGTGAATAGTGGCAAAATATTTACCGAGCCGCGAAAGCGGCGAGGTAAATATTCCCAAAGCCACTATTCACCGAGATTGAGAAGAATAATTGTTTTAGTATATACACACGAAGTGATCTCAACAAAATCAGAAAGGAAACCATTCAAAAGTAGGATTTGATTGACAGATCAAATCACGCGTAAGTTTAAAAATAGATCTTTGCAGAATTTTCAAACATGGCAATTCACAAGTTTACTCATTTCGCAAACAACAGCGTAATGGCTTCAATGGAATCGCTAAAAGTTTGAACTGTTTCCTTACCTGAGAAAAAAAGTAGAGCTGTGTTGTTTTCTGTTGACTCGCCAAGTTTATAGCCAAAAGGGCATGTTGTGTCGTTCTTCGCATGAAGTGCTGACAAAAATGGCGGCTCGGTTGCTCGAGGTAAGAGGTCGTCTTCCTGTATCATTCTTTTTCCTGTTTACTTTTTCTGCAAACATTTCCTTTTAAATTTGTTTGTCATAAATAAACTTCGATTTTTGAGCCAAAATTTTCTTCTTAGAAAACGCTGAGTTCACGAAACGGCTTCTTCTACGCGAATACACGGGAGTTGTAAACAATCCATCGAGCACAAAACTCCTGCTACAGTAAATTGAAAAACGCCGTATTGAATCCTTCCAAGTCTTTTCTTGCCTTAAAAAAAGTCAGCCCTAGGATTTTGTCGACTTTTAAAAGATCGTTCCCTAAAAAAAACGGGAAAAACACCGAGCTCACACATTATCCACTCGCTAGGAGGTGAATATTGTTGAATAGTCCGAGATAGCGAACCAATCAGATTGCTTAAATCACCAAGATCACTGAGTGTGTATATACTAAATATATATATATATATATATATATATATATATATATATCTTTTGTTAGGGGACAAAGGATGGTGTTTACAAGCCATCAGAACAGCTGGACACACTTTAGATTTTACTAGCAAACCTTTGCTGGTCAGTAAGTCCTTTGCTAAAAATGTTTGCACCGACCTCTTTTGGTGTTGGGATCAAGCAAAAATAACTTAGGTTAAGAAACACCTCTTCAAGCTTATTTTAGAAATACAGAAGCAAGTTCAAAAGATAGAAATAACTACTTCCCTTGGTAGATGTATTCAGCTGTGGAATGGGAAAATAAGCGTTTCCTGTTGACGAAGTTCGTTTATTTAAACCTGAAGTTAGTTCTCACTTTCGCTTCCAAACTTGAATCATAATCAGATTTCCTTATCTCATTAAAATCTTGTTGGGGCCACGTTACCTAACACCTTTTTAATCCTTTGTTCTAATTTGGGCTATTTTCAGCTTAAATTCACTTACTTTCTCACTTTCAAACTAAAATTTCTTTCGACAGAATCTTAGGAAAATTTGCTTTCTTTCAAACCATTGTTTTACCTTCTTGTATGGGAATTTAGCTATAGAGATATTTTCAGTTTTGCAAATTTTTTTCCACACGCAGCTGAATTCAACTTAATTCAGTATCTTTTGTTCTATCATTTCTAACACCTTCTAACACCTATTTTTGCGCATAAGAATACTATCGACCTTTCTTAGAAACTGCTTAACTAAATAGTTAAGTATAAATACAACCACTTTGTAAGCTTAACTTGGCTTAGTACAACTTGAAAAATCTTGAACTTAGAAGAACTGAAAAGCTCAGGAATAAACCGTTGTTGAACTCAGCTTCACTCTAAATCAGAAAGATCTGTTTTAGCCCTAAAAATAGGGCCGTTTCGGTGAGTGAAATACAGTCCTATTTTGGAGTCTAATTTGGCTCCCTTAAATCAGGGCCAATACAGTCCAATTAGCTAGGGCTGATTTGGTCCAAGGGCTGAAATGGGCCCTACCGTGGGCTGGAATAGCCTTTTGATAGAGCCTTTTTGGCCTAAATTGTGCTCAAATGGCTCCAAGAAGGGCTGAATCAGTCTTTGGTCTGCAGGGCTGAATTGACACTTTGGGGCTGAAACAGATCTTTTCAATTTTCAGTGTTCCTGCATATACCCCGACTCTCTCAAAATCTGTACCCTTACAACAGCGTAATTTACCATTATTCGGCTACAATTACTCCATTTTGGTGAGAATTAGTGGACTCCATGCAGTAAAAAACGGATTGAGAATCGTCAAGGAGACATATAGTAAAGCCCGTTTGGTCACATAGGTATCCAAGGGTAAGGTAGACGCGAACTTTATTTGTTTGGGAATTCGGTAATTGTCTACATCACACCAAGGAAATACTAAACCGGCATCACAGCAAAACTCGTGGAAACCTAGTAGAAAAATGACAATGACGGCAATAATTGACAGGAAAGATCTATAAAGTTGCTTTAGATTTTCCATGTAATTTTTCCCGGGGCTTTCTTACAGACACATGTACAGAAAATTTAAGAAAGTGGTTCTAGGTCTTCTAGCGCATGAAACGCGCTCAATTTTTCAGCAGAGTCCTTAGGAGTGAAGCTTGAGTTTACTATTCATTTTTTTTTTTAGAATAGCCGTTCTACGGAAATCATTCGACATTAGATTCTCATACAAACACTGTAACTCTCACGCGTTTGCCTACTCGTCACGACGGCGTCGAAAACCGTGACAAGGTCTATTATATTCCCGCCTCAAGAGATCAGTCTATTTATATGGTTCTTGACTCCCTTTGGTCCAAGTGCATAGTATAGCAGTTTTGATGATCCTTCGATTTTTTTAGAAGTAGCGACACACATCAGTATTCCTCTTTAAGATGACACAGGAGTTCAGACTGAATTAAATCCAGCTTTGTTTTTTCAACACCGCTCCTTAAAGGTATGGAATATGAAGCTTTGTTCCTTGGTTTTCTGTTTCTTATCTCACATCAAACTTCTTAACATACCTATCATTTGATGGGTGCAACTAACAGGTTTATAGCACTTCTAATCCCGGGGAGGGGGGAGAGGGGGGCAAAGGTGTGTTTGGGTAGAGGTATGCTTTAGTGCAAAGACAAACTCCTTAAAGCAGATATATAAATGTGATCAGGTTTCCATATTTACAATAATAGGGGTGCAGCCTTTTCCCCCAAGAAAGGTACTCAAAAGGCTTAGAGGGTAGACATTAATTTTCCAACCTTAAATACCCCTTAATATGCCGCTGCTATTGAGCATTGTGTTGACGTACACAATACCTGTAGTTAGGGTTTTTAGTTACCAAGTCGTTGTTTTAATCTTTTTTGTTGTGCAGTTGATTACACCATACATGTCTAATTTTATCTAATTAAAGTTGTATTGTTTATGTGTTATTTAAGGCTTTTGTTTCTAATTTCTGCATCCCCGCGAAACGTCCTCAGCGGCAAAGAGCAAGGAGAAATGGTTACTGCATCATGGGCTATTTTCTTCGTTTTCTTCTTTGGTTTTCTTTTTCTCTTCTCACACCAAACTTCTTAACGTACCTATCATTGTATGGGGGCAACTAACAGGTTTATAGCACTGCTAATCCCGGTGGGGGGGGGGGGTGGCTCAAAGATAATTTTGGGTAGAGGTATGCTCTACTGCAAAAATCGTTCAGTATAACCCTGATTCGTTTCATTTTGCATACAGAATTAACTAATTTTTCAAGCTAACATCATAACTAATTGATGATACCACACATCATTGCCAACCCACGCACTCTTTTTAAGGATTCCGTTGCAAAAAGGCACCCTGTTCAAAATGCTCAATAGTTATAAATTTAAATTCACAATGGGAGTCCCCACTCCCAAACATCCCAGGCTAAGATAAGTTATGAAAAGAGGCAAACCTGGAGGCGGAATAGGAGTGGGAGCTAATAGATGCAAAAGTGAGCTATCACTGCAGGGAGAGAGAGAGTGTGGTGACAACCTGGTCTCTGCTGTCCTTTTAACAGAGAAAGGAATAAGGACAGCACGGGAATTTTGCAGAATGCCGAATGACCGTTATATGCACACCGAATGAATTCTACGTTTGTAATTTGGTAATTGTCCACATCACACCACAGAGAATACTGAAAGCATCACAACAAGATGAAAATGAGTACTGTGGAACCCTAGTTAGCTTGCAAAGACTGCCCTCAGTTTATATTGGCACTTAATACCTTAATCTAAAGATAAATAGGGACATTTGAGAGGTCACGAAGACCTTCAACAATTTATTACATTTACTTGGGCGTTCGTTAATTAACTATAAAAAAGCTAACAAATAATTATGAATAGGGCTTAATTCACCCGGTTAGTTAAGGATTTATTTTAACAGCTCAAGTTCATCACAGTGGTCCTGCTCTAAGGTAACAGTGCATGTGAAATCCATCAATGGCGGGATCACCAATCATGTACTAACTAGAAAAGAAAATCTTAGATTAGTAAAGTTTTTATAGCTGTACTGGCTACAGTGCAGGTGCTAATTGCCAAATTACTAAAGGGATCTCTTAAGAAATGTCACGTATAAAAATAAAAACAAAAGCGCAAAACACGCATGCGTTGTTCTGAATAATGTTTACGCTGAGGCGAAGTCAAAACTATAGTCAATGAAGTATTCCATCTCAAAACAAACAGGCTTTTGAATGTCTTTCATATCCCTGACTCGCATCTTTTTCTGGATTAGACTTTCTTCAGCTGAGCGATACAGACGCAGAACTGAGAACAATTTCGTGGCCTTGACTAAAAATACACAACACACCTTCTGCATTAAATTGTGTTATTTCATGTTTGTATTAGGCTTTTTACTTGGGATTGAAATCGTTTAATGTCTCATGGCGTGAAACGTTTAGGCAACATAGACCTGGGACTTGAAAAAGTTGTTTATGCATCAGTCGTTTATAGCATTTCATTTACTTGGCTTTTATGTTTCAAAAGTTTGGGATTTATTTTTTCACGTCGGATTTATTGCGTGACGGTGAAAACGATCCACTTACAAGGTGTTAAGACTATGAAAAAATAAGCGATAGAATCAGAATCATATTGTAACATATTTAGAACACACACTTTACTGTACCTCAGCAGCAACACACACATCCAGCACTGCAGCCGTCGCAATAAGGTAAAGGGGACGGCGTCATACCGGCACAACCGGAAACATTACATGAATTTGGACAGCACGTACAATTAGACCCCACGGAGGGGTATGAATCTGTGAACAGGTGAGATAAAAAGTCATTACAATATAAAATTTTTTAATCTCAGTAAAACGAACGAGTAGCGGTTACTCTCAGTCCGGCGTTGGATTCCTATCCCAAGTACTGACGCCTGGTATTTGCAAGAGGAAACAAAAACTTCCGTTCATGCGCGTCTCAAAGTAGTCTAATATCACAAATTCGTTGCCTAAAACAAATAATTTTTAAGCGCATGGGCCTTAAAAGCTTCGAAAGTTACCGGCTTAGGGCCCGGTTGCATAAAACCTACACTTAAGGACGGTGCCCGCTATTGTTACTGCGCACATTTTCTGCGCATGCCAAGGTAGTCGGGCGCGACGGGAAAGAAACGAAACACGCAGGACACGCGGACTGGTTTTGTCTCCTGTAAGTCTGGGAGGTTCTAGTTATTTGTTGTGGAAAAGATGCGTCGTTTTTCAACAGATGAAAAATAATTTCTATTTACCTTGTCAGTTCTTTGAAAACCGAAGAAGGATGCGCATGTTGCTATTTTCTGCCGTATGATCGATCTGACCGAACATTTTATAGTCAAACAAAAGTCAGTACGCTTGGAGCTTGGGTATTAAAAAATCCCTTAATAGGCAAGGATCAGTAAATCGGAAGAAAAATAGCTCTAATTCCACTGCTTAATCGAGAAACTGCAAGCTTACCTTTCACTCGCGTCCTTCGCGTTTTATCGGCTAATCGGCTATAAGCTATTTCCCGAATATTTCTTTAATTTTGTGAGATTTGATGTTATTATTCACCAGAAGATAGATAAAGCGTTCAAGCACATACAGATGTCCCTTTTATTGAGAGTCCGGGACTTTTATTTGTTGAACAAACAAGAAAAAACTATCACAAGATTGCTTGGATTGCTGATTTCGCAGTTTCACAAATAGTTGCGGACCGCAAAGGAAACGCTTTCATCGTGGAAAAAATCGTAAAAAATTGTTATGCTTTCTACTATTTTCATTGTTAGTTAAGCATTTTGGCATTACTAAGCATTGAAATTATGACTCATTGAGCAGCTTGTCGTGTAGATAGTATTTCTTAAGGTTCAATTTCACGCCACACATAATCTGGACATTTAGACATAGCTGCCATTTGGCTGTTTACAAACTAAAGATGGAAGGTAAAATAAAGTATTTCCATTCTAAGACTTTTTTAGGTTTAACAGACGCTGTTAAGTCGAAAATTAACATTCAGGAACGAAAAATAGTGAATGATCATGACACAGAATGCTACAGTAAAAAGAGTCAAAACGAAATATATGAAATGATCATCATAGCCCAGTTTATATATGCATGAGGGTACATAAACGCATTCGGTACAACTACTTTCGCAGTATTCACCTTTTTTAAAAGAGAGCTCATGTATGGAACTTGAGTCTATGCAAATCATTTATGTCACATGACACTTGTGGCAAAGCCCGAAAGAGATAGCGCAAAGCACAGATATAAGCTCATTGAATGCATGCAAGTTTAATAACATATTCGATCGAGCTACCCGGTAAAATGATTAAAAAAAACGATAGAAGGTTTACAATCCATATTACATCTACAGTTCAAAAAATCATGAGGACATGTACAGGTAAGCAAACGATTGAAGGAGTACCTGTCTAAGAGTGCCTGTCGATTCTTTTCCACTACAGTACAGTAGTTTGTTTACAGCGCCAACCTTGGATCTTGAGCTCGCCATACTACTCTATGTACGCTGGAAGTAATCTTTAATACCTTGGAGATTGCTCCTCTCCAAAAATTTTTGTTAAATTTTAGAGATGGAGAAGCTCCAGTTGAATAGTATAATTTGTTTTCCTTATAGTCCATGAAATGTCCTGCTTCACTTTCTGCTTTTGCTCTCTTCCGTGGGTTGTTGTTCTCTGACTGTCAGCCATTGTAGGTATCCCAGAGTACTCTGCGTTGTGTGAATCAATAGTGAAACTGACCATGGAGGGGATGGGAAAAATTGTAAATAACCCCCAAAGCAATTAAGTTAAGGTCGAAGCGAACCAATTTAACTTCTAAAAACGCGTGGTAACCCCTACTTTTTATCTTACCAAATGAAAGTAATAAGCCTATTCAGCAAACGATCAATTTTTGGTTCGGGGAAAATGTCGTTTACACTATTTTTAAGGCAAACGCGTGGAGAGGGGTAACTGCCGATAACTTCCCAGTTGTGCTGATATTTCAAAAAAGAAAGTATAAAAAGAGCGGTGGTTATGTTATCATTTGTTGCTTATTTTGAAACCTTGTTACAAATTATCACTACATTTGTGCCAGTTTACGTGTACACTATGAAATTTGAGGGAAAAAATAACTTTTTATCATTTTCTAAAAAATGCCTATTCAGCGTTTTTCTCCATACTGAAGCGCAGTTATCTCTGAAAAATGCTTGGTTACCCCCAGTTTTCCTTTTGGATTTCAATAGCCCCTGATATGATCTACTTGTCTCACGTCATAGTCATTATCTGGAAAAAAATAGTTCCCATTAGTGGGCACCGTCCTTAAGTAGGTCACTTACGAATCCGTTATGGGTACACTTACGTGTGTTGCATGGAACGCACTTAGCACTCTCGTAAGTTACTGTTTTACGTGGTAATTTACGGGCTCACTCAAGGCACACCTAACTTTGATATAGTACTTCATTAATAACTCACTCTTTTTTTTAAGCTAACCATCAGTGAGTGTAAAGAAAGTTTTAACTCGTTTCGAACACTTTTAAGCATCTCAAAAAAAATGAAAATTTTCATGCAGACGTTATTTTTTCTTCAATATCTACCTGAAAATGATAGTTCTTCTTTTTTCACAACGTCGGCTTTAAAGTGTACATCAGAGGTTAACAAAGCGCATTAGAACGAATAACGTGAAAAAAAAAAAGATTTTCTCTTCTCAGTAAAAGATCTCTTTAAGTTTAGTAAAAACAGTAACGATACGGGACCTACATAGGTCCCGTAAATTTACGTCCTATTTTTCCCGTAAAAAAAGTTTTATGCAACACTCGCAATTTCTGTTGCATAAACGACACTTAAGTGAACACTTACGAAAATCGTAAGTGCACCCACTTAAGTGAATTGCCTAAGTGGACCACTTAAGTGATTTCATGCAACTGACAGTAAGTTACGAGTGCACGTACGTATACCCGTAGTTGTTACGAACGTTTTATGCAACCGGCCTAGGACTCACAATTTTTTTTCTGAGTCCCATCTGGGGCTCAGAATTTTTCCGAGTTTCCATTTGATGCAAAAAAACGTATCATTTTCTACTTCTACAAAAAAGACTCACGTGGACCACGTTTCTCATAGAGAAGGTTGGAGGTCTTCTCTTTGCGCTGTGGGCGACGCAGCCGTGCATTGTACACAGCTGAGCTCACCAGAACTACCAGCAGCATGCAAATGTAAAACTTGGCAGCCATTAGTTGTAGTTTAGAGAACAGCGTTAAACCTGTTTAAAAGAAAAGGAAATATCGCAGCTTACAAACAAAATCTTGTCACAAGAGAAGAAGAAAGTACTGGGGGCATGAGCTTCAAAATGGATACTAACTAGACTACTTTCTACTGAACTCATAGTCAATTTCGGTTGTAAACAAATCTATGCTTAGGGCACAATTAAGAATTAACAGTAAACTTCATCTGGATCACAGCTCCAGTCTAACAGGCCGTCGATAAAACCCGGAACATGGAACATCCCGGAACAATCCGGAACATTCCGGAACATTCCGGAACATCCCGGAACATGAAAAAATTAAAATATTTTTTTGTGAAAAAATGATTAATTAACTAAATAATAATAATGATAATAAATAATAATAAAAGGAACAATAGATAGAAAACAATTTTTGCAAAAATTTATAATAACAAAATAAATAACATAACATAACATAAAAACGAAAAATAAAGAAACAAACCAAGAAAGAAAGAAAAAGAAACTGGTATCATCTCCGAGTATGAGAAAACAATATTTTGTTGCAATGAATTTTTTGCAGTGGGCGAGTAAGGGTCCATTCAAATGATAGTCCCCAGTCATCCTACTCACCCTGGTCACCCTAATGAGTGAAGGCTTGCTTCTTAATTCAAAATATATTAAAATGGGTCGCGAGGAGAGGGTTTTCAGGCTTTCGTCACACAGCCACCTCTTGTAAAGGTTTGCCATGTGGTTTAACGGTTATCCATTTACGGCTTTGCGACCGAAAGAAGAGCTTAGGGACTTGTCGCTTTGGACTTGGATAATTAAATTAAAGATTCAGATTCACCGTGAATAGTTGCAGTGGCAGTGGTAGCGCAGCGGTAGTTTCTAACTGTTATCAGTTAGCCTGAATTTTAGCCGTCTCCCCGCAAACTCCTCCTGCGACTAGAGGAGACGTCTGAAATATCATGCTGACTGTAAACAGTATAGAAACTACTACGAATGTGAGTATTGTCCACTAAAATCCAAAGACAGGAACCCCTATACTCTTCTTAAGTTCACAGAGCCGCCTAGTCGGTAAGTAATTCATGTTCAAAGAAAGCAAAGCACCTCAAGTAAGCAAATGTCGGTTATAAATAAGGAGACTATATGTTGGCTTGAAATGAGCTACTTACCGACTTGGCTTGACATGAAATACTGCATCAACATTTCAGACCATTGCAGAACCGTAAATGGATAACCGCCAAATAATTAACTCGCGGCAAACAATTACAAGAGGTAACTGTGTGAGGAAAGCTTAAAAAACCCCCCTCCTCGCGACCCATTTTAATATATTTTGAATTTAGAAGCAAACCTTCACTCGTTACTGTCATTTGCATGAACCCTCACTCGCCCAACAAATTTTAATTTGTCGCGACAAAATATTGTTTTCTCATACTCACAGAGGATATCAGTTTCTTTTTCTTGATTAATTGATTATTTTTCGTTTTTCTTTTGTTATTTTACGTTATTATTGATTTTTACAAAAATTATTTTATTATTATTATTTTATTATATTTTTTTCATGAAAATTATTTTCATTTTTTCATGTTCCGGGATGTTCCGGAATGTTCCGTGTTCCGGGTTTTATCGACGGCCAGTCTAACACCGGGAACTGAACTAATGAAGATCTACTTGGTTGTTTCCTTTTCATTCCTTCGCTGTTGACATAAATTTCCCTTGTAAACAAATCTATGTTTAGGAAACAAACTGTACCTTGTAAGACGTGAAGCGCTTAAGGTGGCTGAACACAGTTTTGCGGATGGTCAGCGGTAACTTGCGTGACGGCGGGTGTTTTAAATTAGACAAACAAACATGGCGGCGAAAAAGCAATGGTACACAGAAGACGATTTCTCAAAATCTACTCATTAGAATTTTGTGATATTTGGCAGAATCTTTCCTTTCATTGTATTTTAAGTAATGAGAACTTTAAAATGGAAGTTGAACAGACGAATTTTTTGACACATTTAATAATTACAGTACAATTAAATTATTGATTATCTAAAAACCCGTCTGTTAAAATTTGGTCAAATAAGTTTCAAATGGTGATGATTAATTATAGTAAGCTGTGTGCAAGTTAATAGGAAAATCTAATGAGCAAGGTTTATGTAAACTGAGAAAAAGTGAAAATTTAAGGTTGTATTCAATCGTTCATGTTGCCATGGAAACTACGAAAACGTCAATTTTTACCTCTCTGTCAAAATCTTTTATCAGTACACTTTTTACTTGCCAAGTTTCAGCTTGTGAGCAGCAACCTTTCTCTTGCCATGATTTGGCAAATGACATATAATCAAAAACTGTCAAAACTGTGTTCAGCCACCTTAAGAGCAATTGTCTGTAAGATTCGAACTATATTGAAAAGTCGCTGCCACGCTATCTCACCGAATTGGCTGAAAATTAGCATGTAAAGTTGGTTTTGGGTCTTAAATAAGAAATGAATATTTTTAGGTTGTAAATCTTCTTACTTTGAAAATTACCAACATGACCGTTATGGGGAACCTTCGGCCCCGCGCCATATTGGTTAAATCGAAGGAGGTTTTACGAATCCAACTACAAGCCTGTCTTTGAAGCAATTCTATCACTGATGAGATACATGTCAAAAACTATCCTTCCTTATTATAATTTTGAAGTTTACTCCGTACATAGCAGCGTTTTCGCTAAGACTGGCTCAACTTTCGGTCGTGCACACTTCAGGGGCACCCAACGGCAATTTTCGGGAAAATATCTGTTCGGAAGACGATTTGAGAACTAGAATTTTCGGAACATTTGTTGTAAAATTTCTTGCTTGCCTGCCTCTCTAGGATATTCGAACATCTACAAAATGGTATAATTACCCATTTTAAACGGATATTTACCCTAAAAAGGGCCACCTAGAGTTTTCGGGAGCCTTTTCCTGGCTGAAATCTTCGAAAAGGTAAGTTTTGATCCCTATAATTTTCGGATCACTAAACTTTCAGCTAGGAAATCCGAACAGATGAAAAGTTTTTAGGGGATAAAAATATGCCTATATCTACTGTTTAAATACTAAAATACGTTCAACAATGCTGTTAAGTGGTTTTAAACTATATCCTCGTTGGGTGCCCCTGACACTTTTTGCATAATTTATGCTCTCAAAATTACCAACAATCCAAAGGCGTATATCTCTCTTGCCACACAGGATTGAAACTTGCTGCTTTGCCTAAATACTGACTGTTTGTAGCCAAATCGAATTCGTTAATAAAAAAATTGGGCAAATGCAACGCGAAAGAAAGAAATTTATTAAATGGGCAGCAAGTTCTAGTCGCTTTGCTAATTAAATTACACACAAATGCTCACTGATGTTGCCAAAAATAGTGATAAATAAAAGAATTTCTGTCCAAATCTGAGTAAAAAGTAGATAAAAAATGGCCTCTTTAATGGCAGTGACAGAATTGCTGTCGGAAACACTGCAAAAAAGCGGATTTTATCAGCGGAATGGTAAACTATAAATATAAATGTGTTGCTTGTGCATTTACGGGTACCGTCCCCACGTGGGAACTAAATCGTAATTTTCCCAACACTAAAACTTTTGAAAGATATCACAAAGGAGAAAACTGAAACAAAATATATAAAGATGTACAATTTCCACATTCAGAGATATGTCAAAACGGCATTTTCTCTGCGAAACGTCGGTAGTCACGTTCAACTGAGTTTTGCATGGCCTTACAACTCCTGCTTTCGAGCAGCCGGAACAACAACACCTAACAACAACTGCTCGCAATTATCATGCTCAAATCAAAACCAGATAATTAGTTTTTGAAGATATTAAAGCTAAATAAAACCACTTGCCTTGTGGTGTGAGATGGGGATCAACTTTCCTTTAACTCTACACTTCCTTTCCTATATTCTTGACGCTCCCGCTCTAAGAAATGAGCATCACTATTTAGGGTCTGAAATGAACATCACTATTTCAGGTTTTCACACATTGGGCGTGGCAAAGGTACAATTCTTTTCACGGTGGTCGGTTGCTAGGGCTTTTCCTCCCAATACCTCTCAAAACTGAGAGTTTTAGGCCATAGACAGAAGTAAAATGCATCGAATGTGACGAAACTTGGCAGGGAAGTAGTTTGATAAATTACCTGTTTATTGGTTTTTCTTTGATCCCATGTGACTTCCGTTGTGACGTCATAAATGATGTCCAAATTTGGCATCCGAACAAAAATTCAGGAAAGAAATGGTAAAGATTTTACATTAGTTTTCTGTATAGAATTCTATGATTTCTAGTGAAAACCCCATCTCAATCGGATAAAAAGGAATAAAGTTACAGCTAATTAAAGAAATTCAAATTTCCCCCAAATGACCATATATGGTCAAAATTAGAGGTATTTTAAACGCGAGAACATTGAATGTATTGGAACAAGAGCAAGGACAAAGTTACATAAAATCAAAATTGTAGTTTTTTCTACTTAGGGTATGTGGTGCTATGACACGTTTTTCGTCACGAAATACGTCATTTTGACGTCACAATGACGTATTTCGTGACGCAAACGCGTCATAGCAAATTTTCCCCCACATGACCATATATGGTCAAAATTAGGGCGATTTTAAACGCGAGAACAATGAATGTATTGTCAAAGGAGCAAGGGAAAAGTTGCATAAAATCAAAATTGTAGTTTTTTCTACTTACTTTTTCTTACTCATGTGCTGCTATGACGCGTTTGCGTCACGAAATGAACATGAACGATTGAATACAACCTTAAATTTTCACTTTTTCTCAGTTTACATAAACCTTGCTCATTAGATTTTCCTATTAACTTGCACACAGCTTACTATAATTAATCATCACCATTTGAAACTTATTTGACCAAATTTTAACAGACGGGTTTTTAGATAATCAATAATTTAATTGTACTGTAATTATTAAATGTGTCAAAAAATTCGTCTGTTCAACTTCCATTTTAAAGTTCTCATTACTTAAAATACAATGAAAGGAAAGATTCTGCCAAATATCAC